TCATCTCCACAGTTTTGAGCATGTTAAGCTCCAGGTTGTTAAGACCTATTTCACCTAATCTGTAATAGTTGAAAGAGAAAAATCGAAACAAAACAGGTTTTTAAGATTCTATATTCCAGATTGCCTTACTGAATTCCTTTAGATTGACCTGGCGCAAACATGGATTTTGCGTATATACGAACACGATCATATACAAAGCATATATCTATACATTACAAAGACGACATGACTGGTTTTTACATTTTAACAAAAACATAATTTACAACCCACTCAGAAGTTATTCCAAGCGGTGTAATATGTTGTCATAACCCCCGGAATAAATCAATAGGTTTATTGTTTCCTCACGGATGTATTTCACCGCGACACACACAACAGTTCATGTGCCGCATAGAGCTGCTGTCTGTGACTGGATCTGAAGCTACTGTAAGTGCGTGCTCTCATCTCAATACAATCCGTTTTAAAAGAATGACAGCTAATGGCATCTCCTAGTTAACATATAAACTCTGTCAATGTGTTTGCCTTTTCACAGTTTACTCCTTCAGATATGTAACACAAGTCATTCCGTGGTCTCAGACTCTTTAGTTTCTTTTGCTGAAACACATTACCGAAATGTTTAGTACTTGACAGATACAAGATTAACTTACTGCTAATCAAACTAACGTGTTATGTTAATTTTAGGTGCTGAACAAATTTAGACAAGCTAGCAAATAGTATGCATGTATGTGAATTTATGATTTCAAGTAGTCATTGTGATTTCGTCCTATGCTATGTAGGCAGCATGACGAAACCCTGTGGGTTCGAGTTCTGGAGGAGCACTCTGAAGGGTGCGCGCTACGTGGTCGCGCCCATGGTGGACCAGAGCGAGCTCGCGTGGAGGCTGCTGAGCCGCAGACATGGCGCAGAGCTCTGCTACACGCCCATGCTGCACGCCCAGGTGTTCGTCAGGGATGCCAACTACCGTCGGGAGAACCTGTATAACGAGCTCAACCAGGATGACCGACCCCTCATCACACAGGTGGGTCTCACCGTCCTCTTTGGCATCAGTAAACACAAGTATGCACACACCATTCCCCATGCTGTGACAGAGAGTGTTCATATGGAGTGTGAGTTATTTACAGTTCTATATCCATACAGTTCTGTGCCAATGATCCTGAGGTGTTTATCCAGGCTGCTCTACTTGCCCAGGATTACTGCGATGCCATCGATCTGAATTTGGGCTGCCCACAGATGATTGCAAAAAGAGGTACCAAAACTCAGCTGACACTTCATTTCTGTTGTATGTGAGAAATAAACCACCATTCAAAATATTTTTTTTTTCAGCAAGATTACTGATTTCTATTTCAAATCAACTTTGTTCAGTTGAACTCCATTCATTGAAGAATCCTGAAAAAAATGTATCACTATTCCAACAAACATAAACAGAACTGTTTTCAACATTGATAATTGTAAGAAATGTTTCTTGAGCATCAAATCAGCATATTAAAATGATTT